TATCAATGGTTTTCTTTGAAGTTTAATGTCAGGGCATGAAGAATCATCAGATAACCTCGTCATATTTCGCATCATCAAGTCTCTCATTACACACTCTAATCCCATATCTTCTTTTACCTCTTGTCCTCTCTGCGATCAATTATAACGTATTAGGTCTCTAACAATGGCTGTTGCTGGAAGAATATGATTTCTCATATATTTATTGTACCAAAGCCGTTGTATTACACCATTCTCAAGTGAATGATAGATTAAACGTTCTCAGTCGCCAGTAAGTGAATATCCTGAGAGACTTACCTGCATCAAAGGTGAAACTAACCGCTTATAATTAATATTATAGATTGGCTAATTGAAGCTGCTCTAAAAGGCGTGTAAAAATTGTTATGGGGGATTTCCAGTTGTAGGAATAATGAGCAAATAAAAAAATAATATAAGTAGAGACACTTTTGATCAACAAAAGTAAAATTTTATTTAAAGTAAAGAAATTATGCTTATATTTGTTTGTTTATAATTAAGCACACTGACATGAATGACTTTTGCTCTTATTCTCAGTTCCGTCCACATAAGTATTTGATTGACTGTAATATTCTTAAGTTACAGAATGTTTATCTCTAAGGCGAGTTTACCCACAAAACAGAATGTAAGGAGGACTATTTGTGAACGTAAACTGCAGAGATTTTGAAGAAAAAAGAAACTATATATATTTATTAATGTTTAACCTAAATGTATCTAAAGAAAATGGAAACAAGACTGATTAAAACAGTGTAGATTAGACCCAAAAGTAAAGAAATAGTGCTGGCTAACGTAAACTGAAATTAATTAAACTTATCTCACCCTCACCGTATAACGTACGAATAGAAAACCTTTTTGCTGTTTAAATCAAATAATCCTCTTTTGTGTGTGTTTATTTAACAGTATTAATATTACTAACAGTGTGTCCGGTGCTTAAATGACTTTCGTTTCTTCTACTTGATCAATTGTATTTCATTGATCAATTTATTTTTTATTAATATGCTCACGAAAATTAAACGATAATGAGGTTTGTTTATGTCTGTATATTTTTAGTCTATCATTTTTTTTCAAATTTAGCATGTTATTGTAAGAGATTGCACTAATCCTATCTAGGATTTGCAAGTTTACGCTTCAATTATTCCTTAAGTAATAGGTCATTGTGAGAAATGACTCAAATTTTGCAAAGCAGAAGGTTGATTTTGATTGATTAGGAATGATGTTTATCGTTGATATAATGCTCGGTTTATGTTTATTATTGCTAGTATTGACGTTTGCAAGAAGTGTGCAAGCTCTTACAAACCAATTAACTGAAACTGAAGTTTGCAGAACTGTATTGTTCACAGATGAGAGCAGATTTTGTGTATCTTCAAGTAATCGACTTGTGAGAGACTGGAGAAGTGAAGGAGAGCAATATTCGACCTGTAACATTGTCCATCATGATGCCTTTGGGGTGGCTGAATCATGGTCTGAGATACCATCTGCATGCAGTGGTGCACAGACCTCTATATGGTGGACGGAGAATCCGTGACAGCAAAACATTTCGTGGATAAGCCCTTTTGCTAGTGTTGTTTGAGATGAGCTCGTGTATCAGCAGGATAACATAACGCCAGTCTTCACACAGCCAGGATCCTGCATTAATATTTTCCAGGATGAAGGAATAGGAATAGAGGTACTAGACTGACCTCTAATTCACCGGACTTAAATCCGCTAGAGCATATGTATAACTTGCTATGGAGAGCAGTTAGAGACAGACAACCTGCTCCTACGACTGGCCAGGACTACAGAACCCCTTCCATCCAGAAGTGGACTGTGCTCCTGCAAGTCATCCAAAATAGCATCAGCAGTGTGGGGAACACGGACAGAAAATTCGTGAGCAATAGAGGGGAACCTACCAGCTACTAAAGACTCATTTTGTTGTTTTCATCTTAATGAGTTAATTTTTCTTGATATTTGTGCAGCCAATTATTGACATTTTTCGTTAGTTGTGCTTTTTTTGTTATTTATAAATGAATTTTTCGACTTGCTTGGTATTGTAAGTGATGTTCCTAATAAACAAGTTTCGAAAATATTGAACGTCTTTCTTCGTGTGTGTGTGTTTGATTCAAATCAAAAAAAAAAAACGTATCAAAGTCTCATTATCCTTTAATTTTTATTAATATTATCGTATTATCACAGTCCCCAAATTCGTACCATAGCACATCTAAAAGTATTGCTGAATAACTTTACTGATTGTTATTGATACAAAAATATAGAGAAAGAAATATCCATATCATTTTACAACCAACTTTTAGTAAGCTGGGCATTTTCAAAAGAACCAAGTCCTCCCTATCGTTACCGAAACCTTTCATAGTGTCGAGTGGATATAGTAGATTAAAGAATATTTTACTATGAAGAAAAAAAGGCTCCAAGCTATATCAGTTTCAACATAAAAAGAGTGAATGAAAAACCAACATTTTAAGGGCATATTTATGTTTTTCTTTCTTTTTTTTTAATTATATTCTCTCTAAAATTTCTGATCGTCTTACGAACGAATGTTGACCTAGAAAATTTAAAGTTCTTATACATCTCTCATAAGTCTACACAATAGGCTAGTTGAACAGTCATATTTTAAGACTGAATCAATGTTTTCAGTCCTTGCTGTGTCAGTACAACTGCGAGTACACCACAGTGGCTCTGCAGTAAGTTTGAGGGCTTATAACGCTAAAAGTCTGTTTTTGACGCACGCGCTCAAATCCGGGGTACCATTCCCCTTGGTGGACAGAGCGCAGGTGGTCTATTGTGTATTGCAGCTTTCCGTTATAACACAACAAACAAACATTCGATACTCGCTCTAAGCACAGCACTGATAGCCATTGTGTCGCTATGTGCTTAATAACAAACAAACAAAGTAACGAAGAATTGAGAAGAATCTTGTGAAAGAATATCTAAGGCATATACATCCATCAGCTTTTTTAGGTTTTTATTGTGTAAATAAAATATTTGTTTGGATGTGTTAGTTTATTTTTTAATTTCGTGCAAAGCTACACGAATAGTGGGATTCACAGTCACATTATAACGCCCCACGGCTGAAAGGGCGAGCATGTTTGGTGTGACGGGGGATTCGAACCCGCGACCCTCAGATTGCGAGTCGAGCGCCTTAATCACCTGGCCATGATGGACCTTAATTTTTATTATTAACTTCTAATATGTAATAAAAAGTGTATTCAAGTGTTTGCTTAATTCTCTTAAAAGGAAGCAAATTGTTGTTAGACGGCGTTTTTAAATATTACCCACACACACACACACACACATATATATATATATATATTAAATAATTAATCTGCATTTTTCATTTATCTTGCATTATATAAATTTCTATATTTCTATATAAATTTCTATTTGTGAGAATTTGTTTTTTACTCTTTATTTTTGTTATGAGAATTTGAATGTATTATGTACGTATAATTTATATTTTCCCTAATTGGAAATGCCCAAGATAGCAAATACTGAGTATCTGCGGGAGAACTGTTGGTTCCTCAATTCCTCCATAGGTTGGTGAATGGCAAAAACGAAATTTGTCGAGAAGTCGAATCGAAGTTTTTTATATATATATATATATATGTTATATGATATAAGTTAGGGACAAGTTATTTAAATACTGCCTCGCAAACTTACGATTCATTTTATTCATATTTATAGTTTAAAAGAGTATCCACAAGAAATTCCTAACAATTTATTTGTGTTTAACTGTTTATCAATAAATAAGTAAATTAGTATTTATTTATCACTTAAAAAACTAGGTTAATCTTTTATACGTTAAGTCAGTACGTACCTTAGTTAAAATAGTTATAAACAAAGATACTATGTTAATTAGGGCTTTATACAGTTAAACTCCTCAGAAGCAGCTGCTTTTAAGGTACTTTTGTTTTTTAAGTATACACGTTCTACAACATCGGTGATCTCTGTCAGTCTCAAATTTCATCCGAGACTTTTGTTAGTAAATAACTTCACGACAATTAAATAAACTTGATTTTTTATGCTATTATAAACTCTCATAAGCTACCTCACTGGTAAGTACTAACTCACGCTGTTTTCTTTGCTGTGGAAATGGAATAGATTTACGCAACGCAATTAAGCAAGGAAACATTAGTATTTTTCTCTTAGAATATCTCGTACTTAGTAATCTATTTTCGCTGTCTCTGTTATATATTAGTTATTTGTATATTTTTCTCTATTATATGATCAGTCAATTACAATTATATCGAATTTTAAAAGTCTAATAGATTCCATAGGTATCCTTAAAAACGAGTTTCAAAGTTTTTATAAAATCATTTTTTGTATTTATTTATGTTGTTACCCGCTAGTGTCAGTTAACAAAACAGTTCAGTCTTACTAGCACCAGTAACACACTACTAACCTATTTAATTATTGACTTTGCTTAGTCGTTATTTCAGTTAACCAAGAATTAACGAAAGCCAAAAAACAATTATTCTGTTATTCTGCCTATGTTGAAATGGTTTTACTTCTTCATAAGTAGGAAAATAATTATCTCAAAAAGCAAAATTACTAAAAGAAGGCTAGTTAAGATGAATCAGTGTTCAAATTGTCTCCATGCTTGCTGGTTATACAAACCAACACAGTAAACTATTATCATCACATACATATATATATATATATATTCTAATTTTCTTTGAATACATTTGTTTAATTCTTAAACAAAATAGCTCTATTACCTGCCTAAAAAAGAAAGAAAAGGCATGTGTTCAAATCCTGATCCGATTCACTTCGCTTATTTATTTTTTTACTTTTTACAGTAGCTATGAAGAATCATATAAAATATAAAATTCATAAAACCAAATAAGAACTATGATCATATGTAAAGCGCTTTAAATATCATTTAATTTTGTAGAAATTTTACTCTTCTAATTTTAAATCCTAGAAACTATAGATTGATTTTATCACTCTGAAATAAATAGAAACATTAGAACGTACGGCCAGAGACTTCTATTTATTGGACATGTAAGGTTCTAAATATCTATGCACACATCAATTTTAATAAACAATAAAATCATATAAAACCCACGATGTTAGTCAACGTAACTTGTATATTTATATACAATTAGCATTCCTTGAAGAAACTACCACTAAATCATGTACTTCTATGAAATAACACACACACAAATGGAGCTATAGAATGTTTCAGATTACGTAGCGTGATGGTCACAGGAGAAATCTATAAGGTAAAAATAACTGAACTTGTTTATTTTACTTGCCTGTTGGTTTGATTATTATTGGAAATAGACAGTGATGTGTATTCTCACAAATGGCATATATTTATTGGAAACGAGCTTATTCAACATAAATTTAACTTAAACTGATGAAGACAAAGGTGAAGCGACTTGCAACGGAATGTTCAACGTTCATGATGTTCATTATTTTTAGCACAAAGCTACATGATAGGTTATTTGCGCTGTGTCCATTGCGAGGATCAAATTCCGAATTTTAGCCTTATAAGCCTCGAAGCTTTCCGACGAACAATCAGGGAACTATTTTTTACAACAGATTAATTTATAGATATATATATGCCATTGAATTACTTCAGTACGGTCTCCATAATGTGAGATCATTAGGTTCATAAGTAACACCAAAAAGGGCATTTCCTCTTTCTGCTCTAGTGATACGAGTTCTCTGCTTGTTTTCACCACTGCTGTTCTCAGAATGCATCATACTGTCAATAGAGCCACTGTGGGTTCGAGAACCTTCTAGATTGGTTAAACTGGCGACCAGTTTCTCGTTGTGATACTGCTGTTGAGTGGCGAGAGTTATATCAACAGCCGACTTGAGCTCGTTGCCTAATAGATGTAGAGATGGGTGAATCTGAGATTGTGAGACGTTGGAATAAAGCTGGGGATAAAGAAGGGACGGTGAAACAACTGGAGAGCTCAGATACATCCCAGCAGTAGCGGTTGCGATACCATTTCCGTTGTTATAAGAACTATGAGATGCCAAAAGCCCATATCCTCTATGGCTGACCGACAGGCAAGACGCACCACTGTTGTTTGTCTGGTAGTTCATACCTGTGCTGTTAATCTCACCTAATCCTTGTCGCAGTTCGGACAGTCTATTCGATAAATAAAAATCAGTTGTTGTTGCAGACATAGTGTTATTGAATCCAGATCGTAATATCGAGTCTCTTTTTAGCGCAAGGCCACTATTCTGATCGTTTGAAGCAACAAAAGATCCTCCTCCTGCACGTTCAATGAGACCTATAACAAGCATAAACAACTTTAGAAAATATGCTCTTATACAGCTGATATGATACGATTTAAAGTAGTAAAGTACTAGGTTCATAATTGTGTTCTTGTTCTATATTTAAACAAATACTAATAAAGATTAAATGTGTGGTGTGTGTGTTTATATAAAAGCCACATCGGACTTCCAACTATATCCACCGAGGGGAATCGAACTCCCGATTTAAGTGTTTAAATCAGTAGATTTACCGTTCTTCCATCGGGGGGAAATATCAAATGTGCTACTAGAAATATTCTCTATGAGCTACATTATAAACCAATATTAAACCCATATCGCTATAAGGCAAGGATGTTTACTTTATTGAATTCTACATTATGCTAAGTGTTTCACATGTTATTTGAAGTTATCGTAATTTAAACTGAATATCCACTTTACCAAGAATTCTACATGAACTCAAGTTGAATCATCTTGTCCGCGATAATAGCTTGGAAATAGCTGGATACATTAGGCTCCACAAGATACCATTTATTATGAAGTATGTTTTTCAATTGTATGTTTGTAGAGAGCTATGGTTGTGATTGCAAGGTTCAGACTCATTTCCAAGACGTTCAAGCAGACTGAGATTGGCAAGTGAGCTATTGTTCTTTTTGAACCAATATTGAGCACTAAGAGTGCAGAAAATTGTTGCATTGTGGTTGATTTCAGTCGTAAAGCTTTTTTCTTACAGTAAATGAGATGTCATAGGAACGTGGACACCTGTTATAAATAAGTAAAACGACATGGAGCTGTAGACCTATTGGCTATACTAATTTCCAATGTTTCGAACACACCACCTTGATATTGCCTTTCCTACAAATGTTATAGGTGGGAGAGGAGATAGTGTAATTATAAAGATATCTGAGTCGGTGTTACGTATCTAGAATTTGCTATTTGATTTTGTGTGTGTTTTTTGTTCCTCTTATTTAATGAGTTTAAACTATTGCCTTGAGCTTTTACCAATAAAGTTAACATTTTCACACGAGTGTTTTCGTTTTACACCAGTTGGCCACATAAGCTCTACTTAATTTACCAACTAATCTAGTTCCATTCCAAATTATGTTCCGAATGTAGTAATTCGGTTTATACTCATTAAGCGTATCAATAGAGATTTTGCATGTTATTGCTTCCTTTTGTCTAGTATCTTCATCTTGTCATCACTAATACCTGATGTTTACACATTTATTTGCTAAATCGTTTATTCTTCACGTTATTTACAGGATCTTAATAACTGTTCACCAATTGATTTTTCCTAAGATTACCACAACATTATCAGCTTGAAAGACTGGGCCCTCATCTTTTGAGTAGGAAGTGGTTAGGAACTACTTATAGAAATACCATGGGTGTTATTTGCCCTGAAGTATTCATAGGTGAAAGTATCGCCAATAGGCGAGTGTTACAAGACCACAGTACGGGATCTTTAAAAATTAAATGTATAACTGGATATTGAATCAAAATTGGACAACATAGAAATACTTTTTTATTCAAACAAGGTATCGTCAATTCTTATTTGCTCTTACTATGTTACAGTTCTGTCATTAGATGTTGATTGCTTTCTTTTGCTCGTGTTTATGAAACATTCTGGATTCTGGAGAAGGAAAGGGAAAACAAAACAAAAAGAACTGTGTTAGTATCGCACCTTTTCCCAGACTATGTGCATGGTGTGGTGTAACACAATTATAGATTACTTATACCAGTGATATGTCTCATAACACATACAAGGATCACTAACTTCCTTGCCAATGTGGCTGAGAGTGACCCAGTGGTTAGCATGCTGGACTATGGATTTGCAGGTTCATCGTTCAAGTCATGTCACAGCAATTAAATAACAGTTTATGGTAGGTGACGTTGACTAGCTGCATTCCTTTTAATTTATCAAATCAAAACTAGGAGGGCTAATACAAACAGTCTTTAAATAGCTTTTAACGAATATTCGAAAACAAATAAATAAGCCCTTACTCCTGTTAATATGTGTAAATCTCTGCATAACCCTGCCTCCACCTGGGTTAAGATTGCACTCTAAGGGAAGATAATGCAGAAATCTGACCAGACAAATATAGGCTCATTAGAATGATTACTGCAATACGTACTTTTTGCTCAAGGCAATGATTAGAATAGGGAAGGACTGACATTGTACTGTGTGCGAAGACATCACCTAAATTTATAACACCCGAAGGAAAGTTCTGTAAAATTAATTTAAGCTTACATGTATGGTGTTGTACTCAGTTTCTAAGTTGTAGAAGGGTAAAACGTGACAGTTTTCAACTTCCTCATTTCTTACCTCAGAGCCTTTTATATGCCAAAACGCTAAAAAACGACATTAAAAGCCAAACTGAGAAGACTAACTTAACAATTCTCGTTTTTTATAATCACTTCTTTAGACTGCAAGAATGATGATATGGGACTTGTATATGGGAAAAATAAAGGAAAAATTCATTAATTATTAGAGTGTAGTTTCCAACAGTTAAAGACAATACAAACTAAAATAAGGTAATTTGAATTCAACATCCACTCAAAATATTCATAATAAGCAGAACATAATCGAATTATAGGACATTTCAACAGGCAAACATATATGAACATTCTCCAAAAAGCTTAATATGATAGCTTCGAATGTGGGGGTTGCAAAGTTTCTAGCTCATTGGAATGGTATAGTTGTATATTATCGTAAAAAGTTGAAATTAACAATTACTTATTCTAGGATCTTGTGTGAGAACATCAGCCGTCTGATTGTGTTCATCTCGCGATTATCAAGTGGTCTGCACTACAGAAATACCACTCCAACTCACTAGGCAGATCACATGATTAATCTAAACATTACATTCACACACACATCTTACCAGACAATAACTCATAAAGTAATGAATGCTATTCCTTACATTTGTTTGTTTATTGGTTGGTTGGTTTTTGAGTTTTATTGGCGCAAAGCAACATGACTATCTATGCCAAACAATTGGTATGAAAATGAAAATTAAAACTCTATAGAATGTAAAAAGAAATCAACTTAAAAGCTAAACAATGTCTAAAAATCAGGTACAAAAACTCAAATATACTTTAAAAGACAATGGCCCATAAAAAACTGAAAACACAATTAATCTGGATAATGTCACCATCGCCAAGGACATTGTCCAACGTTGGAGGTAAACCCTAAGAAAAGACATGTCTAAAATGATGCCGCCGCTCAGATTTGTAAAGATGGCACAAAAGTAAAACGTGGGTATTTTTGACTCGAATGTTACAAAGGCCACACATTGGCGTAACAGTCCCGCATAATAAGAAATTATGAGTTAAAACTCTGACCAGCGCACATCCTAGCCAAGACAACCTCCTCCCGCCGATCCTAATGAAAACTAGATGGCCAAAGAACAACCGTAGGTTTCATCTGGAAAAGCTAGTTATGAAGTTGCTCACCCCAAACTGACTGCCAACTGATGCAAAACCATGCCTTGATCACAGAATCAAAGTTCATGTAGGAGACAGGCATAGCTGTGAAAGCACCAGAGCAGACAAACTTAGCTATGTTGTCTGCAAGTTCGTTCTCGTGAATACAGCATGACCAAGTATCCAGAAAAGCTGGATAGAAACAAATAACAGAGAAAAACGGGCCAGTCGTTTCTGAATATACAAGAGAAAAGGGTGATAACTCGCATTAAGTGATTTTAGGGTCAGTAAAGAACTAAGAGAGTCTGCGTAAATAGATCAGTCAAGTGTACTACTTAGCTTCCACGTGATCCAAGACAAGAGAAATAGCAGTGAATACAAAACTGTAGAGGAGATTTTGTGAGTGGCCAACGAGCCAAAACAAACCATGGCAAAACCCACAGAGTCACCTAATTTCGAATCATCCATAAAAACGGGAACAGATGAATGGTTTGAAAGATGTTCGGTAAACAGAAGATAGTACTTCCAACTGGGAGTATCTACTGTCCTCATATGATTCAAAGAAAGGTGGTGGTGGTAACGAGCCATGGAGGAATGGTCTGGTGATCAGACTGAGCAACACTATGCAATGAAAGCCTTAATTTAGCCAACTGTGCCTAGATACAAAGGCCAAATGGAGGAATAGCCAACTACCGATTCTGAAAGAGCAAAGCCCACCATAAAGCAAGGAACTTGCAAAAATCTGAGATGAAGAGGATGTTCATGGAACTCAGTGTACAAAATCTGGACAGGTGGAGTGCAAGAAGCCCCTGTGCAAAGCCAAAACCCCTAGATGATGTTTATGTTCCTATATCTTCAAGGCAGAGGCCCTGGCAGGTCCATAAATTATAGGCCCATAGTTTATCTTGGAATGTATGAGGGCACAATAGATCTTCAACATAGAACACTGATCTGCTCCTTAAAATATGAAAGAGAGGACACAAAGTATGTTCAGTGCCTGTGTACACTTGACACAAAGCTGCTTAATGTGACGAATGAAAGTCAGTTTGGAGTCAGACAGAAGCTTAAATAAATTCATCTCAGGAACTATGGGAAGAACAACACCACTAAGACAGAGCTCAGGATCAGGGTGTAAGCCATGTTGGCAGCAAAAATATATGCAAACAGTTTTAGAGGAAGAGAAGGTGAAACCATTTGCTGTGGTCCACTTCAATAAGCGAGTGAGAGCAGTCTGAAGTCGCCACTCAATAAACTAACAGGAAATGTGGAAGTCGTTGACAAAGAGGTCAGTTGCAACAGTAGGATGGAGCTGTTGAGTGATAGCATTAATCATAATACTGAAAAGTGTGACATTCAGAACACAGCTCTGAGGGACTCCAGGTTCCTATGTGAAGGATCTGGACAGGGTCGAACCCACATGGACTTGGAAACTCTGGTTGAGTAAAACTTTACAAATAAAAATGGGTAAATGGCCATACAACCCATATAAATGGAGGTCCCAAACCTTTGCCAAATCTGGATAAAAACAACCAAAATGAAAACAAGAAAAGCAGAAGAGAGATGATGCAGCATCTCTTAATGATTATTATCAGGTCTCACTAATGTAATGTCAGACTGATGAAAAGTGAGTTGAAGTTCCACCAGTGTAAATGAGCAATAATAATCTTAGAGATGATCAGCTCGAAAGGAAAGTGGCGATCTTTCTGCCCAAGAATTGATGACCAGAAAGGCAGGGGAAGAAACAGAAGCACTGATAGTATCAGTGACTCTCTATACATCAGCAAATTTCTGGCCATTGGAGAGCAAGATGGAAAAGGGATGGGAACATACTTCCCAATCTTGCCTCAGACAACCTTAGAACTGGTGGTAAGAGAAATACTGGTCGTGAACTTAATCCTAGATTACTTCTGGCTTTGACATCTGACCAGCTGGACATAGGCATGATACATCCCTGAAACAGAAATCCTCAATGAATTCTTCATCTAAATAATTTCATCTGTTTGACACATCTCCACTTGAAAATATGTAATACTGCAGCCAACCAATGTTCTGATTTTGACCTTTACATCGCCACATCCACCTGCCACTGTTAAGGCAGGTTATCTGAACTGTAAGGTTCCTAGTCCTGTTAGGTTTTCCTGTGTCTTACAATTTGGACCTTCTAAGGCATCTTTGATGAGTGCTCATTGTGGTAGAAAGACGACGATGTCTACGAATGTCAACTGAACCCTCACTGCGTCAATTGTGGTGGTTTCCACCTCTAGTTCTTAGCCTAAGTGAGTGAAGGAAAAAGGGGTACAATGTTTATGCATCATAAACAACACCTCTTATCCTCAGGCCTGGAAGTTGTTTTCCTCAGCCCCATCTTGGACATATGCTATTGCACTCCATTCCTCTGCTACAATGGGAATGCTGACAGATCTTTCTGTGCCTCCAATAGAGTCTTTCTCTCACCATCTCAAGAGTATTTTGCCCTCTGTGAATGCAAGAGTTGACAAGTCCATGTCTACTTCTGTCTCTGTTCCCACTATCACTTCCAGTGACTGCTTGTTTTCTTCTCCTTCAGCTCAAGGTGCAGGACAATTATTTGGTCACGCTCTCAGTCACTGGAGTATTCTTCTTCTTACAGAGACCTACCCAGTCGTCCTAGGACAAGCTCATGGAGGTCAATAGACCCTTTTCTACTAAGGTGAAACGTTGTGGTTGCAAGCAAAAGGGTTCTCTATCCAGTTCTCCTCCTTCTAAGTAAAATTTGGCACTATAATAGAGTGTAACTATCAAGGTTTTCGTTATAATTTGGATGACATTAAGGATTCCTATCATTCCATGTGTCTCTCCTTGCAAGAAACATTCCATCAGTCTGCTGATACTGTCACTTTTTGGCAGATTTCCTTGTATAGTAATGATAGGTTGAGTGATGTATGTGTGGCATGCTGGTTGATCAGGATGTACCCACCTTGCTTGTGCTACTCAATATGTCCCTGGTGCTGATATTGATGGGAGGGGTCGTTCTGTATAATTCCAGCAGCTCTTCATTCCATTCCCACAACCTCGACATGTTTTCCACAGTATCCTTGTTCATGGTGGACACCTGCCAGCCAGCAAGCATGGAAAGATCAGAAACGAGCCTGAGATATCTTTTGCAGGTATCTCAGATGATCCAAGATGACAGTATTCCAAAAATATAGAAACATGTGCATCTATATGATTACATGTACTTGGAAGAATGTGGTAGCTTATCACCATGATATGCAGAGATAAACCTCATCATAGTGCCTTGAAGTTGCCTCAGCCATTGCAAGTGTTCTTTGTACATTACTACTTAACCATTCTGTAGTATTTCTGAACAATGACAAATATGACTCTTTTTGAGCAATACCCACTGTTCTTATCTTCAATATCCCACACAAGTTTAATCAGTTCTAGTTGTTTCAAGATACTCAAATTGTTCACCTACATCATGTCCCATACTTGCTATCCAATACCTCTACATGTGGGAGTGGGAGGTCAAATGTGTTTGACATTAAAGGTCTAGATTTACATAATCACTATTTACAGAACTAAACAATCAATAAATAGTGAAATGAAACAAAGAAGGAGATTTGAAATAAACTCTTCAATAATATATCTGATTTCCTGGACCAAAATGTTTCTGAATTTTTAAGTGAGAATGTATAAAATACATAATTACTGAAATATGGTAGGTTGAAATTATATGTATTCCAGGACAATAAGTAAAATCTGAACAGCAAAGAAAGTGAAAAATATACAGGTAATATTAAAATTTACTCTCTTTCACATGATATGTGGTTGGTTTTTGTTTTCACTTTCTGTGTTGCAACACAAACTTTAAATACTTGAGAGCCTCTATTGCTTTTACTTAAGAAATATTCTAGATGTTGGAGTACGAAGAAGAATATACTTCTACATTGCATTAAGACAGGAAGGATAGTGTTAATTCCACACTTATCAGACCAGGTTGCTAGTGCAGTATCCCACAATCCCATATAATACGTCAGCAGTCATTCTCCTCATATTACCATTTTAAGGAAGAATAACTTCCCAGCAAAACTAATCTGTAAAAATCTCTGCATGACCTATTCTGGTGGATGGTAAGTATAACTCTCTTGAATAAACACTGTAACATATGTATTTGTCCAAAACAGTGACTACAGCAGAGTAAGGATGGCTATTCCGGGATACTAGGACGGAAACTAAATGCATGACATGTATATAAAACATCTGAACAGTAAACCTGAATATACCTGATTAATGATGTATTTAATTACTAAGTGATATTAGAGCATACCCTGGCTATTTGTAGTTGCCACAGCCCTTATGGAAATAAATGGCAAAGTCTCTACTAAAAGAACTGTCCTCACAACATCACATGACGTCTGGCAGTTTCTACTGTGGAACCAAAACAAAATAAATAAATTACTTCTCCACATTGATAAAATTTGCCAGCACAGAGATTTCGAAACACATATTCCTAAAACAAATCACTCACTTCCAGTCATTTGCGGTCTATGTTTTTCTAACTACAACTGAAGCCAGGGTTTTCCAAGATAAATAAGCTTCAGACTGTTTTCTATTGTTATGTGTCGGATCTTGTAACGTCCTTCGTATGGTACATTTGAATATCGTATAAACTTGACCACCGTTGAAGAAACTGGTGAAGTGAGGGGCACGGCATCATAACTGTAGCACTTTTCCGCCAGTTTACCCCCACTAGTTGGTGATTACAGTAATTTGTTGTGGCTGACGTATTTTATTGTCACTGTTGATATACTTTGAATAGCCAGTCAAATAACTGTTTGTTTTATTCCAAAGCTCTAAAAAGGCATTCAGCCGCAAAAATGCTTCTCAAAATGTGTCACAGATCCTTAATCTCAAGTATGTGGCTGACTAACCATTGTAGGTTTACATTTTCTAGCACATCAGATCATCAAGCTATTATCTTCTTCTTCATTCGACCATAATCTCATTTAGTTTTGGTCGTCTGCCGCTCGCGTATTTTGTATTATCTATGAATTTTATACTCAGATGGCTGGCCGTGCCAGTGAGACTCTAAAAGGCGTGCATATTCAATGGCGGGGATCCGAGCCTGCGACTCGCATTTTGCGAGTCGAGCGCCCTAACCACCAGGCCATGCCAGGCCTATCAAGCTATTATTTTTTAATATCAGGCTGATTATCAGGCTGATTATCAGATTATCAGCTGATCAAGCTATTATTTTAAAGCTGGTAAATGTAGTGTTCTAAACTGTGTGTGATATGTCTAAAGCAGTGGGCAGTCAGTGTATACTTTACGCGTTTTTAGTAGCGTCCCGAAAACAAGTATATTTTCTTAGAAGTCTACAGAAATATTTTGATTGTTCAAGTAGTTTTCTTGCACGCATGAGTGTACTTATGTGTCAGTGTTTCAACATGTTCTGTTATAAATTACAAGTTCGTTCTCTCTGTGTGAAAATTCGATCATAAGATCAGTACGAAATTTTATATTTTTGATAAATATGTTGCTAGTTAGTATCAATTCTATTCCATGAAAACAAACACAAACTGTATACATTTATATATATATATTGTTCGCTTGGTTTATTAATATGTATTGTTACTTCAGTATGGTAACACATTATGCTAATATAATATGGGTTTGGCAAACAACGATTTATAAGCATAGGGTGTGTCTGTTTTCTTCTTAGAAAAAAGTCACATTGGTCTGTCTGCTGTGTTCAACGCGGGAATCGAACTCCGGCTTTAAGCGTTGCAAGTCCGTAAACTTACCGCTGTTCCATCTGGGGACTAAGCAAAATGAATGATTTTATTGATGGTGAAACATACTACATGTTTCGAAACATGTATTATGTTCCACCATCAATAAAATTATTCATTTTGCTTATAAATCGTTGTTTCTCAACCTATTATAATATGTATTGTTGTTCCTACGTAGATTAGTGAATTACTAGGTTTTCAGAATAAACTCTGTAATCTTTTTGTAATTGCGTTATTATAACTTTATATAATAGCAAAACTAATTTTAAAAGTCTACTTGGACTACAAGGCTGTCTGAAACATTCAATGGATTATTATTATGAAGGTATAAAAATAATAGTTTAACACTCTATTACCTGTGGTTAACGGTATTGAATTGGAAGAATGGTGAGGGTTTCCTGGCAATGCTTCATCTGATACGTTGTTCACATATGGCACTGGGAAGATGGATCTCTGCATCGAGGACGATGACGTAAGATACGATGGATAAGGCAAAGCATACGGATTCCAATGATGTTCAGGGTCAGCCAGATGTAAAGCTTGAGCAAAGTTCAACAAACGGTTTTCATTGTTGGTGTTGATGTTGTTTTAAGAGGTACTATTTTAAAGAAGCGTAGTAACGTACAACAAATTTTATTCAAAAGTTAATCCAGAAAAGAGAAGGTTCTTTGATAAAATGTGATATTTGAAATTGCAAAGTATTTCAAGTAGAATTCCAAACATTTATTTTAATAAAGTAAGTTGAAAATTAAGGTTGCATTTATACGAACCAGAAACAAAACACAATATTAATGAGCCTAAGAAAAGGTTCCAACCAATGTTGGAAAATTGCTCTACAGTCATATTCCTCTGGGCTATAATAATCTGTTAACATAGTAAACAACGTAAACATTATTTCAATACAATAAATATAAGAAAGTATTTGTTTATTTTTTTGTTAATTACAACGCTACACAATGTTCTTTCTGTATAGAAGCCCCAATTTTAGCGTTTTAAACCCTCACAACTTACCACTCAGTCAGTGAGGAGGCCATGAGGAAACAGAGAATAGCTCTTTTGTAGAATATTTCGGTAAATAAGCCGAAAAAATTTTCTCCGTATGAAGGAGCCACGAAAAGTCAAAAAGTCTAACTGTGTTATTTATTTACGGTATGTTTTTCATTTTATACCATTCGCTTAATTATGTTTCCAGTATCTCATGTTATAGCGAAGTGTAACAAATATTGTAATCCTGCATTTCTTAATTGTTTTAAGTTAAATTATTCTGCATTTCATCCCTGATATTTCACTTTCCTCATCGGTATTCTGTACTGTATAACATGTTTGTCAAAAAAAAAGCAAAACACAATTTAAAATTTTATAATATAAACATAAAAATACCTAAGTGAAATGTTTTGCAACTCAATATTGGATGGAAGGCCTTTAATAAACTGATTAGTCTGTCTACATATATATTTTTTGTTACTTTCGAGTTTCTGAGAAAAATAATTAATAGATGAAATTCTTTAGCTGGAATGTTATGATGACTTTTGCATTTTGTAGATGCTAACTTACCTTACATTAAAACATAATACTGTTTTGTAAAACACACTTTAGCTATATGGTTCGGAAATTTTAACTGTTTGATGACAAAAGCTAAATAAAAATATTCTTTATGAAACACAAATTGATATAACAGTTGTTATGAGGTGCCTTGAAATATATTGCTATTATGTAGTAGTAAAGATTAAATAGGTTTTCAAATCAATTAACAAAAATGTACAGCGTCAGTAAAATAAATATTCGAAACATTAATACTTTAATAGAACAAGAACAATGGCAGGGGCTTTGTCAAAGAGTTTATTTATACGAGTTTGCTCATCAATTTCAAAATAAAGGTGTTTAAGGATTCATTCAGTAAATTTGTTTGTTTGTTTGTTATGAATTTCGCGCAAAGCTACACGAGGGCTATCTGCGCTAGCCGTCCCTAATTTATAAGATATGATTAAGAAAAATTGTACCATGTATTAAAATGGTATTGCGCATTATCTAAAGCGTAGAGAGGAAAACTAATATCATTGAAATACTTTGATGATCCAAACTGAAATTCATATATAAGTTGGATGAAGTAGATTTCGTCCCCAATGATCCCGTTTTAGAGTATGTCGATATATAAACAATTGCTCTTAGAAATGGATTAATCAAGTTTCATCGTGTAAAAAAAAAAATAATTTTATGATGTGTTAACCACATCATTTAATCTCCGTGGAAAGTAATTTAAAACGACAATGTTCAATCACTTCGTATTCGAAAGGTTGAAATTCAAGAAAGGAAAATATGCCTTTACTGGCGAAACCACAGTTGTAATAAATGAAGCATCTGTGAAACGTACAATTGTCTTGTTTTTCCTGAAAGTATGCTTATGTAGCATCATGATAATCAATCTGATGAAAAACTACAAGTCCTGCAAAAATTTCCAACTCTAGGATAGTTTGTCTTTTTTTAGTTACGAACTTTGCAATGACTGTCAAAACTTTTAGAATATGGTTTGTTTGTTTTGAATTTCGCGCAAAGCTACACGAGGGCTATCTGTGCAAGCCGTCCCTAAGTCAGCACTGAAATACTAGAGGGAAGGCAGCTAGTCATCAGCACCCACTGCCAACTCTTGGGCTACTCTTTTATCAACGAATAATTGGATTGACCGTCACATTATAACTCCCCCACGGCTGAAAAGGCGAGCATATTAATACTTGTAATTAATAGTTGGCACAAATGGTGCTGCCTTTGTGAATACGCTTCAAAATAAATATTCTATTAATCAAAATAACAAACACAGATAATACTGAACATACACAACCTGTGTAAAACTAATCATTATAAGATATAGAATTATCCTCTTACGTCACACATCGTTTATCATATGACTTGAAAGTAAAAAGAGGAGCAGGAGTTAACACTGTTCTTTTCTCTTAGTGTAATTAATGTAATTAATATTAAATTCCGATCGGAGAAAGCTAAGTATTTAGAGCGAAATTAAAAATTAACCTGACAATTATTAAAGCTAATTAAACATACTTTTTTTTACATTTCTTACTGATAAAGATTAGAATGTATTGTTTCATCAATTGAGTAACCTCGCTATTGGTGGTAGTCTCGACCTTAAACCCAATAACACCCCACGAAGTTAAGGCAGCTTAGGAGATTTAGGTTAGTGCTAAATACATATATTAAGTTAACAACGAAAAGCAATCTTTATAATTAAAGTATTATAATAATAATCAATAAATCAAAATAAAAGTAATGATATTCGATATACTAAGTAGTATAATCAATACTGGTAATGAAAGTAACAATAAATATATAACAGAGGACATTTCATTTAAAGAACACAGAAACACTATCTATTGCCTTAAGCTACTGTCGAATAAATAAGTTGATTTGGAAAACGTAACCTTAGTCTATTTATTATCCAATTCTCTATAGCCCTTCTTTTGATCAATGAAAACACATTGAATCATCCCTACTATCTAGTATCAGAGGGGAGTGACATTTATGACAACTTATGAGCCACATGTTACTGTTGAAGCTGTGATGAATTTGCAGCGGTTAATTTTCCAAAGTATAACCACAAATTACTGTTTTAGAAATATAGAATAATAAATCATTTATTATAGTCAATGAAAATGTAGCAATACGACATGTAATAATAATATAACATATCTATGTGGTTTGTCTAAAAGAAATTTACCACTCTTTTACTATCTCCTGTAACAAACACTTAGAACTGGATACAGGAAGTAAAAAGTAACGTTAAATCTTCTGTAAAAGCCTCTAATAATCCATAAAAAGGAAAGCCAAAACAATCGTTAATATCATACTAATGTCATACTATATACGGAACTGTTACATATCTAGTATTAACTATATATATAATAACTTAAAGAAAAGGACTGTAACTCCAATGGTGGTGAATACACTAAAGCTTTTCACTGTTTCTCCAAACAATATCCCTAGGAATTAAGGTGTAAACGTGAATGTTTTCAAAAAGGTCGTGACACTGTGTAAAAACTTTTAAACCATCAGCAAGAATATTATTGAATTTCCCTGAAAGAATATTTTGTTTGAAATGCGCAATGAAAAACACTTATTATGAAAACGAGAATGAGTTTACGAACTCTAGCCTCAAAAATTTCTTATAATAAACAAATTATATTATATCTAAGAAGCTGATAATAGTAGATATTGTAACATAACTTATACAGAATATTGATAATTGGGAATGAAAAGTTTACAAATTCTAAGTTGAAAGTGCTCATTATATTAAAAAGATTAAATATGATTGTTCAACTAATGATATTGACATCTAAATATAAATATCATCTAGCTTTTTCCTATAGCGATAATGTTTACAGTTGTGTCTAGAAAACCTTGATAACTTGACATGAGAGTATCATCTGTATATCTAGAAGCGCGACTGACGTACAAAGCTTTACTGTAGCCTTTCTTAGCAATATTTGAAATGTATAAAACTTTTATTCCAGATAAATACAAATCAGTAACTTGTGGGCTGATATTATCTCCCATTCGAATTATTTCTGTCTGTAGGAAGACACACTAAAATGCACAAATGTAATATTAAGTAAAATATTCATGACCTGCAATAATTCATTTAATTTAATGTAAAACTCTGATAGTTTTGTAAGAAATATTTTCGTAGAAAGTTCTATGAATACTGACGCGGTCTAGTAACTTACATGAATTTTTAAATTAGTATAAAGATTTAAACTTAATTAAGTGTTTCTATTGTTAAAGCTTTTTCTCACTTTACATTCGATGAAATTACCAATTATAATGAACGGATTGATACCCATAAAACTCTTTACTAAGATCATAATATTAGGTCGTCAAGAAATTAATGTCGCGTTTTCGAACACTTCATTACCCCCCCCCCAAAAAAAAACCAACAAACTTACATCACGTATAATAGTTAAACGAACCGCGTAAACGTCACGTTAGTCTAGTCTATATAATGTGCAAAGTTTAGTATAATCTTATCCCTTACAGTGATGGCACACGACGAAACACACATTCGGCATGCAATGCTGTTTGAGTACAAGAGGGGAAACAATGTCTCTGTAGCCACAAAGAATGTCAAAAATGTTTATGGAAATGTTTCGAAAGTTCGTAAATGTCAACGATGGTTCAGCAAATTTCGTTCAGCCTTAAAAACTGTTGGAATTGATATTGATGCTCTGAAGACGCTTGTTGAGTCTAACCCAAGGCAACAAACACATTTGTGAAATGGCCCTGACATTGCATGTCTTTCATGAAACAATACGTAAACATCTAAGGAATACGGGAAAACTCCAATGATCGTCGTTTCCAACGTGTGAACGTTGCTTCGTCTCTTCTGGCGCGTAATGCGCGTGAACCATTTTTGGACAGAATTGTCACCGTCAGACAATAAATCTGCCTGCCTGGAATACGTTTTTATACGCAAGTCCATTCATATTGATACTTTCTTATACCATAACTACACAAATACTTAACTGGTCATTTTCAACGATATCTACAGGGTATATGGTATTCCTGACTTGTGAATGTTTTCCCAAATTAACAAGAGATTGAAGGGCTTTCACCTTAAAGGTGGTAAGTGTAGAAAGGAGAATAATTAAAACTTAGTATATTTCTCTCTACAGTTGCTTTTATGGTATGTTGGTCCTTTGTACTCAGCTTTGTCAGCCTATCACAAACAGGCAAACAGACAAATTTAGTTTTTAACAGTTCTATCTTCTGAAGCGACTGCATGCAATCAGAGAAGGTCAACTTGCTGGTAACAATAACCAAATAGACCAACGAGAAAATAGATACAGTCAAAAATTGAATAAAATTATAGGGATGACAAGACTCATTATAATGTCTGATAAATATCAGTAATAAAAATGAATAAAGATCAATAAATAAAAGATCAGTAATAGCCTCATAAATACAATACAGAATCAAAGGAAAATAAAAACCATAATTATCTCATATATAAAAAAAACAGTTTATGAAATAAATATATATATATCATAAGAATATTGTTCATCTAGATCTTTCGAACAATGAAGTTGTCTATCACTGGTAGAGATATGAACCTTGACTGATGGTTGAAGAGGCAGGCATTCAGTATCGTTGCTACCAGTTCTGCTGATATTCATAAAAGTCCAAATGAGCTGTGAAGGGCTGAAACAAGTCTTTTTGACCATTAAACAAACTAATAAAATCAGCCCCTTACATTTTAGCTACTGATAATATTTCTATTTGCTGTTCTGAAGTATCTAGTGAGACCATTGGTAATGAGTTGAAGTTTCCGGTTCGACGTGCTGTACAGATAACTAACTAGCTTCCATGTTTTCTAGAACAAAGTCTAGGTGTTTAATAACGCGTCCCCAACTTCCCACCAGATACATTAAAATACATTACCACTTGTTTCCAAATGCGTACATATCAATCAGTCTCTACTTCCCACAAAATCCTTCTCGTCCATCAGGTAATATTTTTATTAATTTATGCAGAAATGAACTACATTTGAGGCAATGAATAAAAGAGCAAATCAGCAAATGATGAAGTTTGAAATGGGGATAGTGTCATTCCTGGGTATGTAGTACGTTCAAAGTACGTTGAAATCACCGTTCTTTCGTATAAAAAAGTGAACCGTATAAATAAATAAATGTATATCGATTTCTAAATTTGCATTAAGAGACAATTTTGAACGCTATATTAAGAGTTTTTCTCCTTTAATGTTGTGTTGTAGTGTATATTCGATACACTACCGACATGGATCCTTAAGAATTCGGAGGATTCATATTTGAAAAGTTGTTTACATATTTTTTACTCACTTAACAAATGTTTTTCCCTGAGTAGGTTTTAGCTTAGAAAAAACAACAACATGAACGTAAAGTGAGAGTAGTATAATGAATGAACATGCTTGCCTTATGGTATATTAAAACCATAACCAAACCTTTACTTTTGACATTAAGCCTTTTCACTACATATTTACTTTAATTTATCTCTACAACTATGTAGTCGAATTAACAGAACACAAATCAATAAAAAGTAAAGTGGCTTTCTAAGATTGGTACACATTTGTTTGAGACCAAAAAACATTTCGTTAATGTTCGTTCGCATTTAAATTAGTATCTTGAGTTAAGCTGATTTGTTAGTCACAACAATGAGCAAGACTTAAATCTGGTCGTGTTTGAACGGTTTGTTGTAACTATGGATATTAATTGATAAAAACTAATTCATTCGTTATTGTAACTTAAAAGTAGATATTATTCTTTAAGGATTTGTACGATATATTATATTGATATCAGAATTTATAATTTGCTTTGCATGGGCTGATGTATGAGCACGTGAGCTCATTCTGTCCAATTAGATCAAATTAACCTGTTGGATATTAAATTCACTCTTGCAACATTAACGTTACATGAGGCTACTATAGAAAAATGCCATAAAAGTGTACCTGCATTCAGTTTTTTAACCTGTGATAACCATTTTGAGATATTTTAAATTCGAAATATCTTAATAATAAAGATATTGAGACTATAATATATAGATACACATTTGTGTCTCCTCAGCTATGTCTATAACAAATGCCTCTTCTTGGTGTCGTCATCAGAAGTTTAAATGTTTAATATTAACTTATATCTAATTTCTATCGATATTACGTAATATTTTCACCACTACCATTTGTATTTTAGCAGTAAACTACAATTATTTTTGTTCAATAACAGTGTAAGGCTATATAGGATATTCATGTATCTAACGTCACTTTTTTATATATCATGCATATAAATTTTGTTATTTCATCTCCTTACAAATGAAAGTACGTTTTGTACATTCTACACAAATACTTCAACGCCGTTTAAGGTAGTATTTTGTCCAAATCCGCCTAGGTCATTTTGTTTTTAATTGTTCGTCTCTACTATTGTCCTTGTATTTTTCTATTTGTAATAGTTTTTCTTTGCTCAAGACTGTTTAGCTTAAAGTCTCAGGAAGTTGCATTTTATCATAATTTTGGTTGTCCTCTATAAAGTACTGGCTAAAGGATATTTGAATAAATAAATAAATATAAACATAATTAAATGTAATTTTATATATAGAGAGAAAAACAAAACAAAAACCTTAACAACAGGACAAACATCCAACAAATCATAAGGTGGAGCAAAAAAAAAGGACCAGATGTGGGCTAGAGGACCCACATCTGCTCTTTTTTTTCCACGCAAGTGAAGGTTGGGGAAGTTGAGGTTAAACTGGATAGACGGTAAACCCCCAACGCAATTTGGATCTTACTTCCGCCGGTACCTCAAAAAACCAGGGCACATTACATAATGACCCACCTTATGATTTGTGCCCCAGTGTTAGATGTTTGTTTTGTGGCTGCGGTTTTTTTTTTTCTCTTTCTCTCCATAAAATTACTTTTCATCTAATGTTTGAATATGCTGTGTAAAATTCACACTATCCTTCCTTTTGATGTAATCTGTTTTATAGACATTTTTGCAGCTTTCTTAAATAGTTACACACGTAAATATATATACGTATATAACTTCAACAAAAACTAAACAGTTAAGTAAATTTTATATTTTTAGGAAGCTAGCATTAGAAAAAGAATCTTTGCTGAACAATAAATAAATTTAGCTTTAGGTCATGATGTCAAAAATCACACCAACCAGGACAAAACAAATAATTCCAAAGTACAAGCTCAATAATTAATTGTTCTTTTCCAAACAGCACGCCTATTGTAATAAGGTTCTGTTCTTTGACTCCAGCAACGCATTTGCCTATTACTCACGCTAGCAAACACCTGGAGCCTATGAATGTCTTTTATGACAGATAACAAACACGTTATTTGCCTGGATGCATTATGACTTTTTTTTTTAATGCATATCAATTGTCAGCAAACCCCATATCCTTTAATAGCTTTCATGGAAACGGTTAATCCCAGCAACCATATTCGATTGCTGTATAAACACAGGTTCTGCAAAGCTAAGACTTTTCATTATGGTTGATTGACCACAGTATGACTTTCTAGAAATATATTTTATTATTCACTGGCACTGACGATATATAGTTTTCCTTGAGCGGGTTGTCTTTTAATCTTCATCCTAGTTGATGAAGAATTATTTCTTGATGAACGGACGGTCAAAATTAGGTTTTAAATCCTTCAAGATGGATATGGTAGATCTCGTACCACCTTAAGGCATTTGACATTTGCCTGTTCCACCGAGGAAACAGATTAGACGAGGAGCGATTTTTCATATGTCACAGCGCATGAAAAAGTCACTTATTTCTTTCCAAGAAACTTCAGCACTTGGTTGCTGTGTTTGTGCATATGTGTTATAGTCCTCAAAAATAAACTAAACTAAAATCATTATGGCTTGCTCAGAAGGGCAATTTTTGAGCATTTATGTCTTTATGAAAAAGATAAATATTTTACATGTTACTCTAAACTTTAATATAAATTGTTAATCAATATTTTAAAAGATATGACCCAGCATTAACGTTCTTATTTGATTTTTCAAGTTGTCATTATTACCGACGTCCTTTATGGATCGTTTTTGACACGTTAAACAAACTAATCATCTGTTGTTGTTTCTAAAAGTTGCGTGTTTACAATAGAAATCCATTGTATAAACAATACACCATCTCAACATTTCCTTTGAACTTAGTGGCCGATTCATCTTCTCAATCTTATTTCAGTAAAGCTTAATCTCACTATGAAATGTGAGAAGTTAATCGCTTTAAAATACATAAGTTAAAATCTAACTTACTTTAATAGACAAATAACAACTTAATATGTCTTAATGAACATTTTAAAAGTCGTTCTTCAACATAAATTCGTATTTTTGATGTCTAGAATACACAGTTGACAAATTTCAATGGAAGTTGAAAAATGTTAATACAAATGGAATTGATAAATCCACTTCGACATAAACGTTAAAAGTTCATAAATATTCAAAAATTAAGCCCCCTCCCAGTGGCACAGCGGTATCTCTGCGGATTTACATCGCTAGAATTCGGGTTTTGATACCCGTGGTGGGCAGAGTACAGATAAACCATTGTGTAGCTTTGTGCTTAATTGCAAGCAAACAAATATATATACCAACATATCTTGGAATATTTAACAAAAATGTATCCAGTAGATTTATGCCATTCTCTTTTTCTGCTTTACCTGTGGGAGCGCCTGGTGCTCCTGGCATTCTTCGCGGAAACTCTAATGTCCATTGTTCAGTAGCTTTGCGCCGTAAGTGTTCCCACTCTCGAAGGGGGTCAAGAAAAGTGGGCCACTGGCTAAAAGAAGTAGCGAAGGCCCGACGCTGTTGTTGTCCTGAAATAAACAACGAACACATCAACAAAGTTTCTATCAAGATAGTTTTAGCCCAAAAAAATCTAGAATTTTTTTTAGATTTATTCTAAATGTAGTAAATAAACAAGATTTCCAAAGTTACTTATGGTTGTTATTTCTTCATTTCTAATATTTCTGTAATTAAAGTTACAATGTAAAATGTTTTCGCATAAAATGAAACTATTATTCCAAATGGTTTTAACCAAGAAATTGCCACCGATACATAAGATGTGCATGTTCATTTTTATAGAGATATATATGATATGATGATGTCATGATGCTGCCTTGTTTTCCACGACGCCATTAAAGTAGGCCTAGGTAAAAACTGAAGTAGGAGAATATTTGGTGTTTGAAGGTATTATTTTATGCCTTTATTGAAAGTTTTACATATTTTAATCATAGATTTTTTAATTTGTGAAACAAGGTGTACAAAAAAAAAGAAAAATCATTCGCTGCTTGCTGTTTTGTCGCTTTCCAATCAACAAAAAAATTATTATGCAAAACGCGGTTATAAGAATAGTAGGAACTCACTAAAACGAATATCTGAGACCATTCTCTAAATGATTTTATACAATTTCTCATGCTCATCAGAAGGTGGGATTTCCGAATAGATGTTGCTCTTCATCTTTCTGGTCGATGTTAATTTTCTTTATACACTTACAAACTTTATATTACAGCCTCGAGCTTAAGAAAAAAACGTGACATCTACGAGTGAAAACGTTTCAGGCAAGTACAGTGGACTGAAATTACTGCTACACCACCATATACAGCAACAGACTAAGTTCCAAATAAGATATTGATAAAGTTTAAGAGTGAGTAAAATTTATATACAGAAAAATAATAAACAACTAGTCACATGGTTGAACATAAATTTCAATTACATGACAAATCTACATGAGATAATAAAAATTGAAACTAAAACCACAACTAATTACCCTATCATTATATTTATACGCACATAGATAGAGCTTAAGCCTTAAAAGAAAACTATAGTATACAATTACATTGAATCAAACTGAATAGTTAATTCAAATGCTCAATATAGAATCAATTTCCAAAGTCAACTTTAATAGAAAAACACAACAGAGGTAGTAACAAAACATTAAAATTTTAATTTTGCTTACATATTACGTAGAAATATCAGGCATGATTTACAATGTAAATGTAATATACCAGTGTCTTTAACAAGTAAACTGGTAAGTTTTGAGTCTTATAACGCTAAATATCGAACGTCGATACCCGCGTTGGGCACAGTGCAGATATCCCATTGTATAGCTTTACACTTAAATACAAACATGCAAAACGAATTAATATTTAAATTAGGCATTTACGTGGCAGCGGGTCAACAGAAAGTTTACGGACTTACAATGCTAAAATCCGGGTTCGATTCCCCGTAGTGGACAGAGCGCAGCTAGTACATAAAGGTACCAATACTGAAAGGAAAGACATACTGTTTTCAAGAATTCTATCAATATAAAATTAGATGGGGGTCTAACCCTCTCATGACCTTCCTCATGTCATCCTGTATCACTGTGTTAAGTTGTGCTGATTTGGTAGTCTTTTTTTTCCGCAGTTAGATATGAAACTAGATGGGGGTCAACCCCCAGTCCCTTCACGACATTCCCAGTGTCATCCTGTATCACTGTGCCAAGTTTGGTGCTGATTGATCGAGAAATGTGGAACCGTATAAGGAACAGATACACAGACATATTGATGTTTATTTATATAGATTCAAGAATTTCCCATTAAACTGACACGCAATTGAAAACATTCTCTTAAACTACCTAGAGACCTCACGCGACAAAATATTTTTCATGAGGGACCTTATTTCAATCAATTATTAATAATACTTTTTTCTCAGAAACCAGTTTACTATTAGTCTACGTTTTGTTGGGGTTTTTTTTTTGGCTCTGAAAATCCAATCAGGAGAGAAATACAGATAACGAGTAAAAAAAAAACGCTCTTAAGATTAAAAGAACGTGAAGAAAAGAAACACGTAAAAATGATAGAAATGTGCAAGAGATTAAGAAAAAAAGATACGTGTAGCAACGGAGGCCACTGTTTTAATGTATCTGTTCCTTTTAATCTGATTTCCTGAATAACTGATGATCTGAAAGCATGTCTACTGAATTATCTGAGAAGATAATAAACATCTCGTATTTTTAACTGACCATGTTAACTTGTATTAACAAATGTTAACTGACCATGTTTTCCATTTACGCCTTCTACCTTTGAAGGCTTGTTTCGTTTGTTGTTAAGCACAATTCTATACAATGGGGTTTCTGTAAAAGTTCTCCCGTTATCATGAGGAACTCAGAATGATATTAAAACTGTAAAAGTTCTCCCGTTATCATGAGAAACTCAGAATGATATCAAAACTGTAAAAGTTCTCCCGTTATCATGAGAAACTCAGAATGATATCAAAACTGTAAAAGTTCTCCAGTTATCATGAGAAACTCAGAATAATATCAGGACTGTAACAGTTCTTCCGTTATCATGAGAAACTCAGAATGATATCAGGACTGTAAAAGTTCTCCCGTTATCATGAGAAACTCAGAATGATATCCAAACTGTAAAAGTTCTCCCGTTATCATGAGAAACTCAGAATGATATCAGGACTGTAAAAGTTCTCCCATTATCATGTGAAAGTCAGAATGATATCAGGACTGTAAAAGTTCTCCCGTTATCAGGAGAAACTCAGAATGATATCAATACTGTAAAAGTTCTCCCGTTATCACGATAAAGTCAGAATGATATCAGGACTGTAAAAGTTCTCCCGTTATCATGAGAAAGTCAGAAGGAACGAAGTAAATTAGTATGAAAGAAAAGATGACTTCTAGTACTTATATATATATAGTTGTATTTATTTATCGACAGATACAACGTTTATAATACTTACTACGTCCAAGGAAATACTTGAAGTACCACCTGGTCTGATGTTCCGGATTTTCCAAAACAGGAGTACTTGTAGAGCTATATAACTAAATGATAATAATAATATTTCTGATAGTTATATATATGTACACATGACAGCAGTACTTGTAGAGCTATATAACTAAATGATAATAAAAATAATTCTGATAGTTATATATATATATATGTACACATGACAGCAGTACTTGTAGAGCTATATAACTAAATG